TGACAGCGCTTTTCGATTGCTAGAGCACTTTGAAGCCACAATTGTTGAGGACACCATTCGTGCACTCATTGCCCGCCACCCAACACAATCTTTGGTGTGGCTACACGATGGTTTCTTGGTTGCTCCCCCGCCCCCTGAACAAATGCTAAGGCAGATCGAAAAAGAAGTTCTATCCAATCATCAGCTTTACCTTGGTCAGACATGGTTTAACGTTACCTCCCTTAGCACAGCACGCGAGGCATATGTAGACACCCTCAAGCATACCGCCAGTAGCCATGCCCTGTCCCTCACCCGTCGCGCACCCCACAGCTCCCAACGTAAACACCGCAGTGCTCAAGGATCGCCCCATATCTGCGCCACGCCTTTGGAAGCCCTTGCCAAACTGCGTGCTCGACGCGAACGCCCGACGGGAGTGAGTTAAAAGCAAGACCAACCCCATGACCTAGCCTACCAATCCCCAGGCGGCTTTAGGCTGCTGCAACGTAGTTATTGCTGATTGAAACCTCCTGTTCTCAGGTAGCCCTCATCAGCTCACTACCTTATCTGTACCCACCCTCTGCCGAGTTAGTTCTCATGCCTCATGTACATTGGTCTTGTCCGGTGGGGTTGGCTCCCAGGGGTACCCTGGGTAGCCCTCCCCACCTTTGCAAGACCCATGGGGACATCATAATACTAAACCCTTAGCCTCGGGTAGTCAATGACCCATTCCCCCACTCAGCTAACGAGCCCAAAGAGGTACATGCGCACCAGTTTTAACCTGGAGGATTTCAAAATAAGGACGACGATTTGCGGCCCACTAATGATATGGCACTGCAAGGGATTAAGTAGTCCTGTGGAGAAGACCCAGGGTCAGCCGTCCGCGGAAACTCAGCTAAGCTCAAATACCAATCTGCAAATGCTAATAGATTGACAGGCTGTAGTAACTGCTCAACACGACTATGTCCACCTCCCAGTTGACCAAAAGTCCATCCCGCAGTATCGCTCCACTATGCTTTTACCTCCTGTTTGCCTCTTTCTGAGTGTTCAGAGGAAATCAACCTCCCACCCTGGGGAAAAGGTGGGGGGGGGAAAAAAAACACTACAATACTCTCTGTACTCCAGCTCCTTAGCAAACACAGGCATCGTAAAGCATCGTGTGCAACATTTTGCCCTGAAAGGATGGATTAGAAGTGAGATCATCGCTATGTAACTGCCATACGACCATTCTGTTCCCATGGGTACCTTGGGTAATGGAGAAACATTTTCAGTGACCCGCATCGAGTTGCTAAGGCTCCTTCGGACCGATATAAAATACGTCAAAGGCAGTTGTAGCTTGTTGCTGCCCTTGAATCCCGTTTGCCGTCTGTCCGTAGATAAGTCCTGTACCATACTATATATTCGACCCTCCGATCTACCTGCGCATTGTTTCCACGGCACATGAAGTTTCAAGGTGCGTTTTTGGAGTCATTAGCTTCGGGTCGTCCTACTCGAGTGCCATACTCATGGTAAGGTGCAGCAGGTCACGCTGAGTAATACTACCCTTCGGCGCTACTTGCCACCTACATTGTTTCCCTTTCGAATGAAGCATTTCGTAATAATAACGAATGGATGACCTTTCCCTGCTCACGCTCAGACGCCAATAAATGCTGGGTAGTTACTGATGACACGCATGTCCCAGGAAAAGATATATCTTCTCCGCTTTAACCAGCATGGTTACCCTCAACGCACTACACAAGCGTTCAACCCCTCATCTCCCACATAGTAGCTAACCCTGCGAGTGGATGTGGTAAACGGGCCCAATGGATAAAGGTTGCTCCCAGAAAGAACTGTTGCCCACTTGTCGCTAGTCCAGATTATCGCATCAAAGAGGGCCTTGTTCCTGATAGTTATTGCCCTGTTGGCAGCATCGCTAGGCTGAGCAACACTTTTGCTTAAGGTCCTTTTTCATTATATCATCCTGCCAACTGGCGCACGATCTTAATTGAGTTGTAGAACTACCAACCACGTGGCCATAAGAAATTCCGCAGAATACTCCAATCCATGAAGGTTGCTCCAGGGTGATGGACTTCACTTCCCACATGCCACCGCTGAAGATCCTGAGCCATGCACCACCGACGCAGAACAGAGAAGTACCACGATGACGCCCCCCTCGCGCAGTGTGATAGAGCCGGTAGGACATTATGTGCTGCCAAGTTAAAGTAGATAGTGCTCTCGCCGCCCATGGCACCTCATACTCAGAGCTTGATAGAGCCTCGAGTGCTAGCAGTTTAGGACAGCTGCTGTTCCCAAGGGTACCTTGGGTAATGGCGAGTCTCCAACTACCACTTTGAAATGCGGCACACTGTTCCGAACCGGCGTCAGCAAGTCCTAGCGCTGGTGTCCTGGACGGAGTTTAACCAGAGCAGCAGGCATTGGGTTGCGATAGCTCGCATACATGTGCGCCAAGTAGGCAGCTCGTGAACGGGCTTGCTTGTGTCTGCCAAGGCCCATGGCCTAAGGATCAGGTTTGTGGGCTACAAGCGTAGCTCCAAAATCCATTGGAACGGAGCAGCGCTAACTCCGTGGGCTTCAACAATCAGTGAAAAGTAGCTGGCAAGATTTTCTGGCAAATAATTTCTTGCACAAACCAGCCTCTCGGATAAGCCACCTTTTTGGACATCGCAAGATTTCCCAACGAGGGTCAAGGACCATTTCAAATGTTGATGGAAGTACTTCCGCGCATCGATGAACTCAGGCCCTTTCGGATTGGTACAAGGCACAGAAAGGAGCGGTGGCTACGGTGAGATCTCCAGTTGCCGCATTTGAATCGGAATCGCCATCTGTCCGAAAGAAAGACGTGGAAAATGCTATCTTCCTAGATCCTCTGTTGTACCCGACAATTGTTTTTACCGCATGGTCTCAATGTTCTTACCATGTTTCGGGCATCCCATTTGGATGGTTTTGATTGCGAACCCTGTGCAAATACTGAGTGACCATTCAATTATTCAATAATTTTTCAGAGGTAGATGCACTCTTTGGACATGCTGAAAGCAGTGGTGCACAGGCTGGTGCTTCCTAATTACTGTTGCCATGGTTCCTGCTAGCATCCTGACATTAACTATCACTGTTTGTTTACTTTTTTGGTTGCAAAGCTCAACAAATTGACCGCAAAATAATTTATCTCCCTGTAACCTAGAGGGACTAGACAGGACCTCAATTACTGAACACTGCTAAAGACCAAAAGTCTGCGTGAGATGGAAAGTTCACTCCCTTAGAGCAGCCCATTGTGCGTTAAATAGGCAGCTCGTTCACAGGAGTGCTTGTTTATGCTAAGGCCCAGGGACCAAGGAAACAGTCTACTGGAATCGAGAGGGGCATCTTGAAGGAATTACGTCCCAGGGTCCAGACAACAGAGCAGCACTAACTCCAGGGGTTTCCGCAATCAGAGCATGGTAGCTGTTAGTTCCTGTCTGTACAGGTATATTTTCCATGCCAGCCATTATCCCCCCTGCCTAAATTATCCAATTGACCAGGGGATGTATCTGATTAGGGCCGCCCACTATGCTTGTCAACCGTCCGCCATTCTAAGGTAATTATACCCCATCGGTGTACCCTCATCCCTGGTTCTGAGCCAAAGGGGTGCTCACCTAATCATTGGCTGCCCGTAAGTAGTTGTCTGGTAGATGGCACGGCACTAATACTACTACAGTATATAGTAACGGCTTAAACATTTGACCCCTTACTGCCACAGCCCAATCTAGGTCCCCCAGTATGATGGACGACTTATAGTCATACATGGATCTCTTCAAATTAAAATCCTAAACATAAAAGGGTTTGCACCTGATCTTTCGAGGTGAACGTATATGAGTAAGTCATGTACGCATATACGCCAAGGACACAAACATAAAACATAAAAGCTCGTTACATATACATCACGTATATATATCTAAATATATAATAACATATATACATATCAATATGTTCAAACATTTCATACGCCGCAACGAGTGAGATCGCCAAGATACACGAGTGTTCACACTGTTTTTTTTTGAATGCAAGTGGCTCACTCGGACTTTTTCTCGCAAAGCAGAATGGGGAAATCTGTTGAACATATTTCATGTTCACGCATTCACACGTTTGACTTTCTTTTGTCATATGCAAAACAAAAAGGATGGACACCCCATCATTGCACATCGATCCAAACTTTGGACCATTCCCCCCCGGACAAAATTGGGGAAGAAAACATTGGGTGGGAAACGAAGTTGGGAGGGTAAAACTAAACTATACACCCACAATTTTGTGAGCTCCCGCCCACCCACCTCTTTCTTGATAATAAATGTTGCACGCTTCAAATATTCAATCGACATTTCAAGTTTTTTTTTGACATCACAACGTGTAATGCACCATGTACATGCCAAACATGTTCATTGCAACATATATTGAAACATGCACAAATGACACATGTAAAATGACAACATCCATCACTTGCGCAACATGCACAAAGAACGGTTTGACGTTCAAAACATTTTTTTTTGAAGAGACGCTCTTTCATCGCTGTCCATTAGAGTATAAACAAATATCAGCAAGCTGACATAAAGCTTATAGTCATACATGGATCTCTTCAAATTAAAATCCTAAACATAAAAGGGTTTGCACCTGACCTTTCGAGGTGAACGTATATGAGTAAGTCATGTACGCATATACGCCAAAGACACAAACATAAAACATAAAAGCTCGTTACATATACATCACGTATATATATCTAAATATATAATAACATATATACATATCAATATGTTCAAACATTTCATACGCCGCAACGAGTGAGATCGCCAAGATACACGAGTGTTCACACTGTTTTTTTTGAATGCAAGTGGCTCACTCGGACTTTTTCTCGCAAAGCAGAATGGGGAAATCTGTTGAACATATTTCATGTTCACGCATTCACACGTTTGACTTTCTTTTGTCATATGCAAAACAAAAAGGATGGACACCCCATCATTGCACATCGATCCAAACTTTGGACCATTCCCCTTTCCGCTTCAGCTACATGCCACGTAGGATTTCAGCTTGACACCTTTGATTGGGCATACTGCTTCTGAAATCTGCAGTCTCTCAAGAAAACCCAATTCTCTCAGAAAAAACCTGCTTGGGGCATCCGCAGGATTAGACTTGGACGCAACTCGAGCCATCCACAACATTGAATTGATTCGTTCATCCAAATTTTCAAAAATCAAAAGAAGGTCCCGCCATTCATCAACGGGAGAATTTCCTTTCACCAAAGCATCAAGCACCGGCCAACTGTCGGTGAAGCAAATCAAACGCTGGTCTTGCAGAATGTCAGCCCAGGTATTGAAAGCGATGACCGCTGCATAAAGTTCTACCAAACCAACCACATGAGATTTTCCATCAACCTGCCACCGCTTCAGTGTTTCGTCTTCAACCTTGGTTCCAAACACAAGTTGTCTCCCATCAGGACACCGGCTCCTATGCCAGCTGTTGGTTTTCCAGAAGATTCGTATTCCAACGCCCCATCAGTGAAAAGCAAGAAAGGTTTTGATCTCGGAGTGATGCGAATTGTCCGAGGCTTTCCGTTTTTCATCTTCTCAAACAACATGTGTGCAGCGTCGATGCTACGCTGATCCAGCAATGCTTCAGCGCACCCCGACTTCTCATGCCTCCTTAGTTCGGACAACGCCAGCCGTCCAGTTCTTCCCCATAGTTGACCTTCCGCAAATTGAAGCTTGCCCAAGGTTGATGGAAGTTCCTTGACTACCACTTTCTTAGACTGCAGGATTCGATCCAAAACATCGCACAGCTCATTCGCTCGTGAAGCCTTGTTCCTGACTTCGACAATGCCGTTCTTCCCATCAACCAAATTGAGCTCCACTCCCAGCATCTCTGTTTTGTCACTGAAGGGCTGCAGCTTGTCCTTGCTACACTGAAAACCCAACAAGTCAAGAAGAGTCAAGGCCGATGTCATGGTGCTGGCCTCGTGCATTGCATGGCTGAGCACGACAAAGTCGTCGAAAAATGCCGACCAAATCACACCCATGAATCTTCCAATTGCCTGCAGGAAAGCGCTGACTCTAAGAAAATGATGTACACTGGCTGTGGCTCCAAACGGCAGCACCTTCATGATGAAGCAGTCTACCCTCCTCTTGGGAGGGTTCCACAGTGTCACCACTGCGTCCTTGTGATTTTCCTCATGCAAAGGGAATTGTTTGTACGCAGACTTTAAGTCAATGCAAGATGCCTTGAAGTTCGGCTCCACACCTTTCCATGCATGGCGCACTTCTCCAGTCAAGCGTTCCCCTGATTCCAGGGTGAAGTCAAGCCGCCCATCGAAAAGAAGAAATTTCAGAATGGTGAAGAGGGACCACAGCGTATGGTCCATTGTCCTTAACTCCAACTTTTCCGTGCTTGCAAATGTCTGATTCACCTGATTCTCCTTGAAATCGTCGATGGGCCGCAGCTTCTCACGCTGCAGCACTGCAAAGCGCCTTACAGGCAACCACTCCCTTCCCAGCTTAGATTCGATCTCCTCGGGGGAGAATGGGCCTTCAAGCCAGTTCTTATTCTGGGTCTCCTCAACAGTTGTATCGTACAGTTGCTGTTGCAGCTCGTTCCCATCTCCAAGCTTGGCTCTCCCAAGTATCATGGGCTTCAAAAACTTTGTTTTGTCCCTTAGCTGCTGGGGGAACATCTGAGCCAAAGTGACACCAGGCTTGAAAACTCCTGATTCAGACACAGGGCCTACTATTTTGAAACCTTCAGTGAACTCGTCAAAGAGCCCCATGTCTGGCCAGCTCATGTCCATTGCAATGGATCGCATGAGGAGAATGCGCTTGGGCGCCATGATTTTTGCAACGTCGGCATCCATGTCAAGCTTCAACTGTTCTTCCAAAGCATTCAGGGCTTTCGCACGACTCGCCCATTCAGACAAAATCTTGATGCGACTTCGTGTCACTACGTCTGGTGCTTGACTCAAGTGTTGGAAAAGAACTCGTATTAAATCTCCGGGCAAGTTCTTCAGCTCATCATATGGATGCCATAACAGTTTTGCAACATGTGTAAATTCAGCAAAAGAACGGTACACACCAAAAACACAAAGAGTTGATCCCCTTTTCGCTTCAGTTCTCAACAGTTTGCTGCCGGCAGGAACTCCTTGCATGTGATGAAGTAAGCAACCTTTGTGGTCAACCTGGGGCAGCTTGTCCACTTGCATTGTTTTTGTAAAAGAAAACTCGGGTATCAACTGCGGCAGCTTGCGACCTTTGGGCTGTTGATTGGGCGCCAGCTTTTGCACTTCGTCGCTTGCCTGCTGTACTGGCACAATGCCGCGGGCACGGCACAGTTCATGAAAAATTTCGGCATATCTGACACATAAAGCTTTGGGATACTCGGCTTCATGCGAAGTGCTAAAAGCTCCATCATCTGCAATGCCCCATGGAAGGTGTTCATGTTGACCATCGCAATACAACTCTAAGGCGGCAAATTCACGGTGACTGCAGAGAAATGATGTGAGCTTTTTCCTCGCTGAGCCATAGGCGCATGCGTGCATGTTGACAAAAATCCCATTGACCACGGCCCATGTGAAAAATTCCAAATCCCACAACAGTGAATTTGTTGGATTTTCTATCGTCCATGGAATCCCAGCTTGATGCAACTTCTGCACGTACAAACCACAAAATTTGTAAATTTGATTTGCCAGAAAAACTCTCTGTTGGTCACGTTGAGACAAATGTGGAAGTCCCAACGGAAAATCAGCCGATCTAAGTGGCTGAGGTCCCTTTGTTCCATCCTTCATGGGGATGCCTCTGGCTTTGGAACATGTGCCACAAGGTGGCGCTATGTGGACGCCCGAAATTGTTACTCTCTCCAGCAAAAAGTCAAGCATGTCCCACGCATGTTCATGTGACAAATCCAGTTGTATGATCTTGCAGCGTGGGGCGTGGCGATTCTTGTCATGATCAACGGCAATGATATGGTATCCATGTTGTTTGACAGCGTCTGACAACTTGGCGCTGCCTGCACATAATTCAACAAAGAAAGGCACAGACGTCCCCTTCCGGACCTGTAAAGAATCCATTAAGCCAGCAAAAACTTCGCTCCGTTCACGGCTTTGACCTTGGGGAGGATCCGGTGCTGACTGCTCGGAGACTGTCGGAAAATTTGAATTCACAGGGCTATCTGAGTCCTGTTCAGCATGCTCATTTGGGGGGTGTAGTCACTCCCGCTTGGCACGTGTGCACTCAACCGCTGGGTGTTGTCCATGGCATCCCTTCACCGCACATGCATGAAGACCCTTTGAACATCTTTGCTTATCAACTGGATTGCTGCAAGATTTCAAGTTGTATGAGAAACACAGCCGATGTCCTTTTGGAGTTGCAGCCACTGATCCAAGCGACAGCAGCTCTTTCGGGATGCGGACAAATGAATCTGTTGTGCCCTGAAATTTACTGAAACTCTTTCCTCGGGCCTTTCCCCCGCCTTTGATTCTTTTGGCAGGCGGTTCACCTGCCGCAGGGCCCTCTGATGGCCTGGTTGTTGGCCCGCCTCCTCCAGGTCTCGGTTGCAGCAATGACAACACCTCTGAGCTCTCCATGCACTGCTTGAAGACGGCGTCAATGGGACGGCCTTGAGCATTGCACTTGATGCCTTCTCGGGTCTTCTCGCTGATCAGGAGAAACAATTTTCGATCTGCAGATTCAAGCTGTTTCATTGAAGTTTTCACGTAATTAGCCGGTGGTTCCTCAAGCCTTGCTTGCATCATCTTTTCAGACCATGCTTCCATGTTTTGGAAACTGACAATGTTGGCTTGTTCCATCGCCAAAGCACGCCTGGTTAGGCAATATCGCACCTGAATCTCAGAGGCAGTGCTGCACGGCTCAACGCGTGCCTGCTTGTGTAACTTGAGGGCACCTGTCGAGTCAAACGTCAAGGTTTGGTCACGTTTTGATCCATGCAATATTTCATGTTCGCGACTCGTACAAATGTCCCAAGGAATGAATTGAATCCTGTCAGCATCATAAATTGCGATGCAACGATCCACCAACGCATCTCCTGGTTCATAAGGTCCAGAAATGTTGATGCCTGCCAGTTGTCGTTGTTGAACACGCAACCGTTCTGCCCTCTCAGCTGGAGCAAGTTTCCTTGTGGGCATGTCATCGGTCGCCTCAACTGAATTCTTGATATCTGCTGCTATGTTTGCGTAACTTTCACTAAACAATCGTCTGACACATGACATCTCAACAGTTGAAGGCGCCCGCTTAAATATATCCTTAGACAGCTGGATGAGGGGCGACTCGTCTGAACTCCCAGGTGAAAAATTGCAAGAAAATGCAAACTTTGCCATGGTGTCCAGTCCATGGTTGACAATCAACTCGACAACTTCTGCAGTAAAATCAATCTCTTCGCATCTCCTTTTGAAAACTGCCTTGCTGTCACCGTAGCTCATGGTTCCGAGGAGGCAGGATGAAAACCCTAGAAGTAGGTTATGTATTTCAGGCCCATGAACTCGTGCAAACTCGCCCAACATGTAAACACAATCTGTCATGAAAAGGTTCTGGACGCTTTGAGCAACTGCTAAATAAAATCATACAAACCAACTGTTCACTTCTCTGGTTTCGACATGTGTTCCATGAAAAGTTTGAGCACAGCTCTGAAATTTTTCGGCGCTCAAACATTGAGTCCACTTTCTACACACCGCTCAACAACTTGTCGAACGCACATCATGCTGTGTTCACACCTTGACACCGCAACTTGCAGTGCCACTTTCAACATCTCACGCAGGAACACCTCCTGCCTTTTCCCTTCACCGCGATCTCGGAAGGCTCAGGTGGCCCTGTCTCTGAAACATGTTTGGCACACAGGGTGACAAAAGGAAGGCTTGGGCTCCAACACGTCGTATGACTGTGACATTCGCCTGCCACATACAAACTCCAGTCCTGTCTCATCAGCCAATGCATGGATGCACCTGGAAATGCGGTGCCTCACAAAGACCTTTTCTTCCATCGGCTTGACAGTGGCGGGCTGCCATTGGCCCAAGAGCTTCTCACAAGCACTCTCCTCACTTTCGTGATGGGTCTCCTCCTCATTCTCCGAACCGGAGGAAGATGAATCACTCAATTCGTCCCCTTCGATGACCTCATCACCAAGTTCTTTCAAAGGAAAACGGCCTGAACGTGAACAGTCTGGTAAGAAAGCTTTGTTCTTCACAGCCCGTATCATCTCACACATTTGACGAAGGGGTTCTGCCATGCTATCCCTGGAGTAGCACAGCATGCTCTGCTCTTTGCTGCCAGCATGGTATCCCAGCAACTTGCGCTGAGAGTGAGGCAACCCGTACTTCGCCGCCATGGAAAGCAAGCTTGCTTTCAAACTGTGTGTGCCCACGGGCGTTCCACGAGGATCCAAAGTGTCATGGAGCAAACTCCTCAACCAATTGGCGCCTGAGGTCACAGATAAGGGCATCTTGGACCAGGACCCATTTGCAGCAGGAGCAGGAAGGAGAGGAATGAAATCATCCTTGCTGTTGGCCAGATTTCCAAAAATTTTCTTTCTCAGTTCCAGCCAAGTTGGCAGCCACTGTTGATCTCCGAATGGGATCAGCGGCACAGCTACTGGTAGATGCCGCGTCTTTCTCTCCAACGACACTGACGTCTTGGTTTTGGCTGCAACCGCCTCTACAAACCCAAAACCATCCGATTGTTGATCAAGCTGTAACTGGCAAACCTGTTGGCCATCGCTGAAACGAAGCCTCCCCATCAAAACGAAGAGAAAGAACCCAGCCGCTACACGGTCGTACTCAGTCTTGTGGCTGTTGACCACAATGTCCTCTAGGTGGGCGATTTGACTGACAGTAAGAGGAGGACGTTGCATTAACTTCCTCTTCTTTGCATACATCGTATTGACCAGTCCTTTGATACGCCCTGAACTCATGATGCTCACGGTCCCAGTGAGCCCAAAATGGAAATTGGTAAAACTCAACGCCAGCAAGAATGATCTAGCATATGTTGCAGCCTTCGATTCACATGACTTCACATAGTCATACACAATGGGTTCAACCAGTGGAAATGCTTGAATGCCACGGTCCTCACAAAACTGTATGTATTGCAAAATAGGTCCAGCCCTTGAGTGCAGTGTGGCTGAAGCCTTCGTTCCCAAAGAGTCCTTCACAGACTCCAGCAAACCACCTCTGGCAAACTCCATGGTGTGGCAAGTGACCTGTTGCCTTGCAATGTCAAAAGCGCTGACCTGCCTCAAAATGATGCCAACCCACTTCTTATACGCACATTTGCGCTCCCAAGAGAGCTTGTCTGCCCACAAACGTGAATCAGCATTCTTTACGGCTTTGACTCCAATTTGTTTGAAAGACAAAATTTCATCAGCACCTTCATCTGAGTTGCAGACATTCGCACTAACTGGAATAGGCGGCAGAGGTCCATGCAGGTCAAAACCGCTTGTACGTAGTTTCTTACAAGCATCCCAGGGTGTGTTCAAGCTAAGCTCCCATGGCATCTTAAAAGTCGATGCATGATTTGTTGTCCAAACGTGCCTGAGATGTTGCTCATAACAAAACTTGCTCACTGTGGATGAGTCTGTGTCAAAACCCCCAGTCCGCTTTAGATGACCAGAACCTGACGCAGCCATGTCAAATCTGAACAGGTGGATCTGCTACCAACGTGCTGTAGTAGGTGGCAGTTGAGATGCCCCTGGCACGAGCAATGCACAAAACCTGATGCTCTTCCAGATTGTCGTACAATTCAATGGCCCACCCAAAACAAGCAGCACGTAAACACAAGGTTGATTGCAAATCCAAAAATTCGTATACCACCAGATTAGACTCAAGGCTGCCCAACTGCCAACAAATGGTTGGAATGGTTTGGTTAGATGACCAGGCTTCCCACCGAAGAAGGTCTGCAGCGGAGTTCACTTGCACAGAGTGCCACTGATGAAGCAGAATGGCACGATCAAATGAGGGTTCCATATAAAAGCCACGCAAAACAAGCTATGAATCCAGTGCAAAAACACACGCAGCCCCAGCACAAAATTGAATAACTCACAGAGCAGCGATGTCCTGAATTGGACTCAATCAAGGCCTCACGGCCCTTCACAGCACTGGGCACAGCGCGAAAGCGGGCTCTCATAAAACTAAACTATACACCCACAATTTTGTGAGCTCCCGCCCACCCACCTCTTTCTTGATAATAAATGTTGCACGCTTCAAATATTCAATCGACATTTCAAGTTTTTTTTTTGACATCACAACGTGTAATGCACCATGTACATGCCAAACATGTTCATTGCAACATATATTGAAACATGCACAAATGACACATGTAAAATGACAACATCCATCACTTGCGCAACATGCACAAAGAACGGTTTGACGTTCAAAACATTTTTTTTTTGAAGAGACGCTCTTTCATCGCTGTCCATTAGACTATAAACAAATATCAGCAAGCTGACATAAAGCACTTCCCTGTCCACGCTGTCAGATGCCAACAAATGCTGGGTAGCTATTGCTGACTCGCACGTCCCAGGGAAAGACATATCTTCTCTACTCTGACCATAATAGTATCCACCAGCACACTACCCAAGCGCTCAACTCCTAATCTCCCAATATCGTAGCTAATCCTAGTGGTGGATGTTTCATTAAACTGGCCAAATGATTAGCGGTTGCTCCCAGGGATAATTGTTGCCCATTTGCCCTACGTCCGGTTTACCACATTGAGTAGGGCCCTGTATAACGATCTACATGACACACCCTGCTCTTGATAGTTATTGCCGTGTTGGAAGCATCGCCATACTGAGCAAACGCCTATAATTGGAGTTGTGTCTCACTATCACCTTCCCAGCCAGCGCACTATCCCAGCTTACTCGTAGAACTCCCATCAATGTGGCTATAGGGAATTCCTTAGAATCGTTAAATAAATGAGGGTTGCTCCCGGGTGATGGACATCACTTCCCACATGCCACCGCTGAAGCCCCAGGGCCATGCACCGCCGACGCAAGATGGAAAAGTACCACGATGACGCCTTCCTCGTGCAGTCTAATTGAGCCGATAGGACATCCGGTGCCGCCAAGTTCCAGCAGATAGTGCTCTCGCCGCCCATTGCATTTCATGTTCAGTGCGTAATAGAGCTAGAGTGCTAGCAGATTGAGACAGCTGCTGTTCCCAAGGGTACATTGGGTAATGGCGAGTTTTTTACTATTACTCTGGAATACGATCCTCAGCTACAGGACACTGCCAAGGCAGGGTGTGCAACAGGCCTCGTGACGCAGCGCGTGCAACATGTTGCCCGGGGAGAACAGAGAAACTCCACGATGACGCCTCGCACGAGCAGGATAGTTGAGCTGGTAGGGCATCCATAGCCGCCAAGTATGGGTAAATAGTGTTCTCGCCGCCCATTGCACCTCATGCTCAGAGCTTGATAGAGCCTAGAGTGCCAGCAGCTTCGGACAGCTGCTGTTCCCAAGGGTACCTTGGGTAATGGCGATTCTTCAACTCCCACTTTGAAATGCGGCACCATGTTCCAAACCGGTGCTCTCCTAGTGTGCTGTCCTTCAGCCGCGCCGAAATAGCCTCTGCATCGCCCTCCAGAGATGGAGGCATGTAGCTGTGAAGATCTTTCGTTTTTTCAGCAAGTCCCTTGGCGATGTACAGCATTTCGGACCGTATTCGTGTACAGGGCAGCACGTAGAGCAACTGTGGACCATAGTCGTGCCTTAAACCAGCAGCTCTCCCTTTTCCCACCTCGTTCAACTTCTGCTTATAAGTCTGCAGTGCCAGGTGGAGGAAACCATGAATGACCTGGACAACATAGGGTTTGATGACATAGGGTTTTCCCGCACTCCACCATTCAAGTACTCCCGCATGCCCTCACCCCCCGCTGTGCCCCTTACATCGCTAGGAACATGACACATGTGTCTGTTTTTCCTCTGCTGTTCCCAAGGGCACCTTGGGTAATGGTGAGGGCTCCATTTTCACCCTACCAGGTACTCATCTTTCATGGTTCATCCTCCTCATGACTGTCACTCTCTTCCCAATATCCCGGCCCCATCTATGCTACCAACATCTGTGCTCCTTGCTTCTGTCCTCCTCATTGTCCATTGCCTCTTGCCTATCTTGCACAGATTGCCACCTCCTCCTGTCATATGCTGCGGCTCCACCACGTGCCCCGCCCCGTGCTACTCACTCCGGTGTCATGAATCTCCTACTGAACCACAATACACTGCCCCCCCAATCCTGCCACCAGTCATATGTTGTACATCTCTCCTTCTGTTGAAGTGTCTGGTATTTTGTTGACTGAGCCTGGACCTAACATGACTCTCTCCGTCAGCAGCCATTGGTTCGAACTGTGAGGACACCGCACCTGCATAAGCCAGTGTTGCTTGGATCCTCACTTTTACTCAACTTCTAATTGCTCGCCCGTTCATTCTCCCTTAAGCCGACACGGGGTTCCCGTTGTTTGGCCCCTGCCCGTTTCCCGGTGTTTGGCCGCTGCCACGCAATAGCGAGTGGTTCCTGTCTTTTGGTCCTGCAAGCCGTGCAACTGCCTTCACTCTGAAGAGTGCTGCCACTGCAGGGTACCTGCTGCTGGTATGCCGAAGCCAAACCCTTTTCCTTCTGGCCTAATCAGTGTTTCTGATCAACACCTACTGGACATATCGGCTGGAATGAATTGGAACATGCCAGCAGCCAGCAGCGTTCGTTTTCTTGCGGTGAGGGGCACAATATGGGTAGGTGATTGCCAGACAACATATAATTTCACATTGGTAGAATACCATTTGCATATTGACGAGGTACCATGGATCATTTTTTCGACCCTCGCCGACGCCCTTGAGACAGAGTTTGACCCTGCCTTCTGGGATACCGTCAATTATGGCCGAAAAGAGCGGTGGGGTTTTCTTGAACTACCCTGGGATGGAAAAGTCTACGGTGCTGCACCACAGTATGCCCAAGTCCGACTATCTATCTTTAATCGTGACGCTCACACCATGCGTGTTGTGCAACCGTTTGTGTGGAACCATACGCACCTAAAAGTTCACCCGAACGGAGCAATGGTTTTCCATGAACAAAAAAGATTAGCCTTCCTGCTGCCTTTGATAGTAGAAGCCCATGGGTTGCTGCCGCCTAAGCCATTGTTCTGGGTCAATGAAGACAATACCATCCCATTGTGGAGAACCACCCTGTGGACGCATGAAGAAACCATCCAGTGGTTAGCTGAGACCGGAGAGACGTACCCGCAGGAACTGCGAGATGAACTCCAGCCGCGCATTGACCAACTTAAGCCTTCACAACATGCGAAACGGGCACTGCCTCCGCCTCCGCCGGTACCGACCAGGTGGGCGGAGCGATCGACAGCAAAACAGCCAGCGCAAACAGTGCAAACAGATGCTCCACCGGACCCTAAATGTACTCAGAGCACGCCACAGCAAGTGGCTGACCGAGAGCGGCAATACATGGAATTGCAGTCTATTATTCATCAAGCAAACCAACAAACGTTGGCAGATAGCCGACCAACGGCGACCAGACTGACCCAAAAACCAGCCAATTTGCTGGCCGCAAGTCAACAAAGCACAGACATTGCAGCAACGGCCGCATCGTCCAATCCCAGTACAGGCGTAGTGGCAGAAGCTTCAACCCCGCAGCAAAGCAAGTCACCTGACAAAATCAGTGCACAGTCATTATTTCACAGACGACCAGGCCCACCATCGGCCCTGCCCGTGAACAAAGCGCAAACGGATACCCCGGGTACCGGTGTGTTATCCTCTGACTCTCACTCTGCAACCCACAGCAAAGATGATGAGCAACAACAACCTTCGGAACAGCTCGCAGCCCACGACGACACATCTACAGAAGAATCGTCGCCTGCAAATACACCCAAAGCATCGCCGGAGACTCAAGCGACTGACACTGCTGGTGCTAGCAGCCCTGAGCCCGCCAGTGACCCCATGCAGGACGTCGACCTCGCCACAGCGGACATCCCAACGTTGCAGAACATGGAAAAGACAGCCTGTGAAAGAGTGGCCTCCTGTGAAACGCGACTCCTCAATGCCCGCGAGCACCTTACTCGCATTAGAAAGCGCCTTAAAAGAATGCAAGATGCCCACTCACCAGGTACTCCGCAACCCTCTCCTGTTGCAGATATGGAAATGGAAATCATTGACTGACCGTACAGACAGCTAGCACTGTGTGCACCTGA